TCCCAAAGTTAAACCTAATTGCGCATTCCTCCTCCAGGCAATCGCGATAGACAGAAAACACCAGTTCTACGCGAGGGGGATTTTGATTCTGAGCCTGCACGCTGAAATTCTGACAATTCAATTACTGGGGAGAACTAACTAATCTTCCCAACCGTCGTCAGCTTGATTTGGCGACGCAATACCAATACTACAGCGCATGTTTGGCCGAGTCGTGGTCTCCTTTTGCCCCTCCCCCCTGAATGCTGTTGCTGCTTCCACTTTCGTTGTTGCCAGCATCTACTGAGTTAATGGGAGAAGAAAGATGAAGAGACGTAATAAGGGAGTCTGCGATGTTTGGCGTATGTGATCGTACTGACAATAAATAAGTGACGGACTACTGAGTAAGAGTGCTGGGTGTGTTTTTTACGAGACACCAAACACCATTATGCTGGCGAAGACTGCCAACCATTAGCTAGTATAGGTAAAAGCTGCCCACTCCCCGCATCAAAAAATTGACGGGCTCGGACAGTGGACGGGTGTCCGGGAGTGGGAAGTGAGATCGACGGTCTCAGCACCTATTCCTCACTACAAAAAATCTGACGCGCTTGAATTTATCCCGGTACACTAAAAGCCGTAGCTTGGACGGCTGTCAACTGACGGGATAACTCGGATCTCGCAGTCGGCTCAGTGTTGTGTGTTTGTGTGGAATGGCCAACTAATGGACTGAGAATCAGGCTGCAATGACTCCTTCTTAATGTGGCCTCAATGACACTCACTGAGATCGAAACCGGGTGTGGTAGCACACGCGGTAAGGTGTGGGTTTTTGCCGTGCCAACCACCTACGCCCTCTCCCGCCTCCGGGATTCTTGTGTCTGTCATGACACCGGGACCAGGTGAGTGAGGTGGAGAGAGTACAGCAGATACTGCATGAGTATACTATCACTTCAAATGAATTCATGCACAAGTCACTCTCCCTGTCCCCACCCTGCTGTGGGGCACACGGTGGACATCCTCGAGAAGCACGGTCGGACGACATAGAGGCTAAAGTAAGTCGGTGGCATAATAATGAATCCATGAATGGAATCCAAATCCGCTCCTTTCGCCAAGGAGCTCATGGAGGGAAGAACGCTGAAGAAGCCGTGACTGGTCCTTCACCCCACCCTCCTTTAGACCAAAGCCGAAGACTGGTGGAACTGAAAGTGCACATCAGTTGTTATAGTTTCCGAATGAAACAGAGGCAGAAGTAAACATAACTGGTTGTGTCTCAAAGCCCTAGTACCCCTGTAACTTCAGATAGGCGCACTGGCTCAGTACGCTCAGGCCAAAAACCGTGATTTTGTTTGTTTGATTGTCATCATTAATCCTTGCAGGATGCAGTGCAGGTGGATGTCTGCCGTTTCTCAATTGCCCTAACGGACGCATTTTTCTGTCTGATGCTGAAGGTTTACCTACTGTACTCAGTTAACATGAATTCCTTCCTCCAATTTATCACACGTGACATGCAGATGATAAGTAAAACACATCTACCTACAGTGTCTCCTCTCGTGCGCTAACTTACGCTCTAAAATGCTAGGAAATGAATTGCCCTTTGCTCATGTACTCGAACGTCCTGGAAGTCTCTCATCAGGACATCAGTGTTTTATCTGCACGCTTTTATCGTGCGTTTATGTGCAGTAGTTGGCATACATTATTTATCCCTCCGCTGAGCACTGGTGAGCAAAAAGAATGAGTTTTACTTAATGAATTTATTTGCCTCGCATAAAGGAAACGGATTGAAGTATTCTGCTGAAAGTGTTACATTACATCATCTCTATATCAAGTAATAATAAGTACCTAGTTACACCAAAAAATACGTGTGAACTTGAAGGGTTTGAGACGGGGGTATTCCGAAATAGAAGAAAAGCTGCTTGATTTGAATACTAGTCGCCACAGTCACATAAGCATATACGCGACGTAAGTGCTCGCAACAACATTCGATCTTGTCCATCTCTAGCAGATATCACACCACGTCCTTGTCACAGCCTAACGTAGCCAATGTAAAAGGCGATGTACGTATCGATGACTTATCGTAGAACACTTATTAGCCAAGATTTCCACTGGTTTAGCCCGAAAGCCGCACTAGAATTAATAAACTCCCAGCTTTTCCTGTTATTCTAGCCTTAACTATGATTATTTTTGCCATCCAAAGGCAACCACAGCAGATACTATGCCGGAGCCTCCCTACTCAAAAAGGAAACTCTTGAGCAAAGTACTTCTTGGTTTACTTGATACTGTATGGGAGTTGTACACTGGTCACCACTTATTCAAGTACCTTAGATACAGCTAAACAGGGCTTTCAAAGTCACGCAGCTCGCACCCCTAACGTCTGGAGTGTTTTGAAAGTCTTAGTCGGTCGAACGTCAAGTAAAATGTCGCACACAAGTGATGAGTCAGTTATAACTGTAAGACCACTTGCGGGATGGTTCACAAAGAACCTAACAGTCCAAGACCCTGTCGTATATAACCTAGAGAAGAGGTCGGGAAGGTTTCGCCAAATGGTAAACAACTAGAGACTCTACCTGCAGGAATGTCTACTTCCCTGACTTGTCACCGTTTTCACCCGTACCGATGATATTTTCTCTCAGTGGATCAGAGTTTTGAACAGGCTGGAAGCTCAGAGAACTGAATCTACTGTTACGGAGCACCTTCCTTTGACGTTTTGTCTGACATCCCCCGGAATATACTAACACCAAACTTTCGGAAGATTTTTTCGTCCCTATCATCTTT